TATATATATATATATATATATTTATACATACTGTATATATATATAGAATATTTTTTATGTTAGGCTATATATTGTTTACTATGCATTTTACCTACAAATGACACCAAAGCAGATTTATTTATTTGTTTGTTCATTTATTAATACAGAAACCAAGTTGAAAAACTCACCAGCTCTTTCCTGAGCCACTCCATCGCTTGGTCTATACTTCCAAATCCAAGCGTGTTTCCTAGCGACTGCCTCCCTTCATGGACCACACTAACGGCCAGTGACGGCTTCGTCCACTTGACAGGGCCTGATGTTCTCTGTTTCTCTGTGTCACCGGGGGCCCCTGGCGGCTCTGAGTCTCTGTGGCTCTGGGCAAGCATCGCCTCCAGCTGCGCTCTCCAGTCCAGGTAAGACGGCTTTCTGGTCTCCAGCTTCAGCTTCTCAGTCAAAGCCTTCAGACTGGAGAGGTGATCAACCTGCGACGCAACAAGGCTTTCTGGGGACTTAGATGCATGTGACATTTCCCCTGGCTTTTCACAGTGTTGCTTGCAAGAAAACTAAGAAGCGTTCACTGGGATAAGTTGGCAGACCAACATCACTGGATATAGTTTAAGTAACCTGGATCCATGGATGCAAAAATGCAAATATCTTTTGCTTTAGAGAACGTTTATATCACACACATTAGTTATGATTCATTACTGAAGATGCAGTTCATTTCTTTGCTCTCAGTGTCGTTTAACTTCTTTTGCAGTTTCTCCAAACAAGACTTGCAGACCATAATGTTTCACTTCAGAGACTGCTGAAATAATGAGGCATCTGAAACACAAATAACATCAAGCCATGCAACAAGTAAATATCGCAATCTACTGTGTTTTAATGTGCTAAATTGTCTTATAATATAAAATGTACAAATCGTCTTGTAAAAGAAACATACCTGTGCAGTTCTGTAATGATGACAGTTTATATCAACAGTAGTGCACTAACACTTGTTTTACTAGTTAGTCTTCTTTTATAATAACTACTTCCTTATAACTTTGTTCTTGACTCACCGTTGACTCTTGTGAAATGACAAGCACTAATCCTTGTGCATAATATATCAGAGAAAGCAAACTCACACCAAGAAAATAGATCAAAACTTACAGTCTTACAAACAAATGTGCAAAGTGCTGTAATTGCACTGGACACAGTTATTTTACTATCATTAATTAATAAACTGTTATAGTTTTACTTAATATTTTGAATTAGATTTTATTTGTATATTTTGTGTTTTCAGTTTAATTGTAGTTACATTCTTAGTAAATTTGTTGTGTGTTTTGTCATTTTTATTTATTTATTTTTACAATATGTCTAGACTTATTAGGTTTTAGTTTAAGTTATTTTAATACTTCAACTAACTAAATGAAAATGAGAAATGTTGTCTTTATGTGTGTGTGATGTTTAGTTTATACAAATAAAAAAATCGTAATCATTCTTTTTGTTTTTCGCCGTTGTTTCGATGTAAATAAATAAATCTGCTTGATGTTCTATTTTTATTTTAAAGTCATTTACACGGACCAATTTTGTTGTGTGTTTTGTCATTTGTTTATATTATTTTTTTTTTTAAACCCTTTATAGTTTTATTTTTCGTTTATAGTTTTAGTTAAGTACTTCAACTCAAACTAATGAATGTTGCCTTGGCAGTCAGCTGAAATAAAA